ACCCTAGAGGCGTAGTCTGCAAGTGTTTTGGTTTCATGCATTATTTTGTCTTGGAGTATGGTTGTCTAGGATTGATTTTAGTCTTTCCATACACACCCTAATTACTAACAATCATATGAAAAACGATAAATTTACGGAAATTAAAATCCTACGCTATTAAATCATTAGGGGGATGGGGAGTACAATTTATGAATGAGGATGAAATAGGAGCTTAAATATTACAACCATATTGAATATCCATGAAGAAAATATATGAGATATGTAAAAACAGTGTAAAAGAGAGGAAAAATCAATTTTTTAACATTATGTGTCGACACATGCTTATATGCATCGACACATAACATTCCCTTGCCCCTGTAATACCAAATCAACTCAGTATGAGTCGATGCATAATGATATGTGTTGACTCATACCTTGCATGTATTGACACATTCGTGCTTTGTGTCGACTCATACACCCTTTTTCCTTCTATTTTGGGCTTGTATAGCAGTATGTGTCGATGCATAAGACTTTGTGTCGACTCATGCTATAATTTTTTCACTCCAACATTATTTTACTGCATACATGGGTTAGTTGTCAACACATGGTTAGTTGAAATTAAAGATAAGCATATGATTAGCTTCAAGGCAATGATATCTATATTTTGTCTTCACAAATTAACCACTAATGATGTTTGTATGAAGAGTTCAAAATCAAGAAAACTTTTCTTGAACTGAAATTTGCTTTGAGTTTGAGTTGCTGTATTAGCTGTTTTTGAGCTTGGGCGGTGATGATAGTGATGTTACAGAAGTTGTTCTTGTATTTGAACAACTTCTATATGATGTATGAGGAGTGTTTGGATGGTTGGCTTGGACAAAACTTGCAAGGAGTGAGAAGTTCAAGGATTTGGACTTTAAAGCTCAACAATGGAGGTTTTATGGACAATTCTGGTTTTTTGAGAATGCAGGGATTTTTGAGGGTTTCTACACAACAAACTTATGACTTTTCTCTCTCTTTTTTCTCACCTTTATCTTGCAAATGGCCTCTCTATTTATATAGAAGGTTTGAGACTTGAAACAACTCAGATTTTGAATCACATGTTATGGCTATCTTGCTTGTTTTTGAAGCAAGCATGAAGAACATATTTATAATGTTTTTACCAAGCTATCTAAAGTGGTTGATCACTTTAAACATGCTTGTTCTGACTTTTAGAAGTTGAGTGTGATTAGAACAACAAGTTAGAGGCTTGAGAAGTTGACTTTATGATTAAAGTGAACTTTTCAAGAATGGATATGTTACTTTCTTCCAAAAATGAAATGATCAATTGGACAAAGGCTCTAACTCTTGGATCATAGTTTAATCAAATGTATAAGCATTCAATTAAGGAGTGATATACAAGTTTGAGGTCTGTAAAGTGAAGATTATGCAGCATAGCTAAGATTTTGATTCCTTGTTCTTCACAAATCTGTCTTGTAAATCAAGAATGAATGCTCAACTTCAGGCCATTGAATCTCCTAGATCAAGTATGATAAATTCATGCTCTTGGATGTTTTGGAAAGCTTGAAGCATCCTATATAACTTTCATGGTTTCCACTTTTATTAAATCAAACTGGAACTTGATGAAAATTGGTCAAGAAGTTGGGATAAAAACCTGACCAAACCTGCTGAAAATTTCTCTGTGTTTAATCAAAAAGGCCATGACTTCATGAATTTATAACTCAAAATCCAAGCATATCTAGGACTTGATCAGCAAAGCAAAGTTGTAGATATCATCAAGATCTACAACTTTCATGTTGAAACTTTTCTTGCATCTTGATGAAGGAATGGCATGAAGTAATGAAATTATCATGCATAAAAAACACTTAGAAAAAATTTCTAAGTCTTGAAAAGTTTGACTTTTCAAATTGACTTTTGACTTTTTTGACTTCTTGATGATCAAGCTTGATATTCTTGAATGCCTTGATGAATTTTGATCTTTAGAATGTAATGTTGACCAAAAAGTCAAAGTTTGACTTTTGGTGTTATAATTGACTTTTTCCTTAGTACAACTGGTTTTAGGTCATCTGATCAATTGACTGAGCAATTTGTGATAAGACTTGAAACTTGACATGAGCATTCTTGAAGGTCCATAATGATCCATGAAAGTCATTTGAAGTATTAAAAGTCCAATTATCCTTGTGCAAACTTAAATCCTAATTTGATGTATCAATGTTGCGAGCTTGAGCCATTGAAGATCTTATGAGAAATGTATTAAGAAAAGAGAGAGTAAATTTTGGGGTACAACAGGATGGAAGGGGGGAGATAAGAGAAGGAAATTTAGTGTATTCAATGTATAATAATATTTTAATGTATAATAATATTTGTGTACTTGATTGATCTAATAACTCTCAAATTTTATATATGTGGTCCACTAGTGAGGGATTTGATAGAACCCTCACCTTATATATATATATATATTGAAAATTAAAATATTTTAAAAACATTTTTCTCATGCTTCAACTGCAACATTAACATGCTACCCCCATCTTATACATGGTACCCCTAAAACGTATAAAAAGACCAGATTGTCCATACCCAAATATTTTTCAGAAATTCTAAATTTCTGTGACCAACTGGATTTTCCAAATCTCTGTGGCGACTACCGAAAATTTGGTGAAACAGTAAGGAATTTCCGATATTTTTTGTGAAATACCCGGTACTTCGCATCGAAAATTTCAAAAATCCTGTATTTTCGTACCAAAAAATTTTGAAATTTCCGGTGGAAACATTTTTCTTCCACACCAAAGATTTAAAAATTTCCGGTATCCTGTAATATACCGGAAATTTTGAAATTTTTGTTATTTCATATTTTTTTGAAAAATGCTGGGAATTTAGAAATTTCTGGTAGTTCATATATTCCTAATTTATCTTATTTTTGCAGTGAGGACTAGGGGCAAGAAAGGTACCGTTGCAGGCAGATAGACTGATATAGCGGAGGCCCAGGCCCGGGCTGATGATAGGCTTCCAAGTTACGGGTTGTCCAACGTCCACCGACCGATTCTCACCGAAAACGGTTAGTTGAGCAGCAAGCGCAATTTCGTGCACCCCGCCTTCGTGGCTCAAGACTTTCTACTGTTAAGGAGCCAACTATGGAGCCAGCTCACGCGAAGGTACATGCTTTTGTTCCTGTTGTTGAGTCGAAATTTGCGGAAGTTGTTGAGGAGGTACATGTGCATGTTGCTGTCGTGGAGCCGATTGGCGAGCAGGTTGTGGAGCAGGTTGGTGAGCATGTTATTGAGTAGGCTAAGCGCGTAGAAGACGTGACCCCGCCTGATATGGACACCACGACCCATGCGTCTACGGAGCCATCAGTACACACCGATAGAGCGTTTCGTAGAGAACCTTCAGACAGGTCCATGCTGACAGGATTTGCTGACCATGTCGCCTACAGGATATGGCTTGGCGAGGTATATATTTGGTTTTCTTTAATTGTATAATATTTATTTTTGCTTACAATATGCTTACAAGAATTGTATAATATTTTGTTTTTGCTTCTTACAGGAGCGTCTGATGCTGAAGGTCGCTTCACATTGTTCGAAGTTGAAGAACTTCCATGAGAGTCTGATGCCTGAGGAAGTCAGGAGTATCGTTAGAGATTTTCATCTCTTGGATTTTGCTGAGTGCTCTTTGACGATGCTGGACGCCTCCCTATTATCAGCTTTTGTTGAGAGGTGGCACCCGAAGACATCATCTTTTCATCTTCTATTTGGAGAGATAACTATAACATTAGATGATGTCGACCCGTTATTTCACATTCCAGTTGTTGGTACATTCTTCACACCAGTAGTTACTAACCATGTGACATCGTTGTAGATGGCTGTGGATGACTTGAAGGTGTCTGAGGTGGACGTGCTAAAGGAGTTTGGTGAGACTCGAGGATATCACCTTCAGATGTCTTGGTTGAGGAGGTTGTATGGGGAGCTTGTGGAGGCACGTAGGTACTAGGCTGCCGCTAGGGCATACATGCTACATCTAGTGGCATGTACTCTCTTTGCGGACAAGTTTAATATGTACATTGATGTTTAATACATGTCTCTGTTCAACACGCTTGATACTCTGTGTTGGGCTTGGGGAGTGGCAGCCTTGACCATGTTGTACACGACACCTGACGTTGCTTCTCATGCTGAGACCAGGCCGCTTGCTGGTTACCTTAGCCTGTTACAGGTATACTATAATTTATTTGATTATTTTATTAGTTATGAGTGTATTTATTTGATGGTTCTTATTTAAGCAGTGTCATCACTCTCATCGTCCATTTGAGGTATCTACTTTGTATTCAGAAAATATCAGATGGGAGACCCATGTGACTAGACACTTGTCTGAGAGGTGTCTACGCCACTTGCCTGAGACCCATCGTCCATTTATGGTTATGTGCAGGTGCCGACCTTTATCAACCTTCTGTTATCGGAATCAGACAGCAAACCATTCAATGCTTCTTTCAAGGTGGCAAGAAATTCAGAGTCATCTAGAATCTTGAATTCAACAACAGGGTTGTATCCGTTGTAATACACTTCTATAGGAATCAAATACTCAAGAAGAGACATTTTTTAAGATATCTTACCCTATCACCTGAAACCCCTATTTATACAAATGGTGATGCATTCTAGATCATAAAAATGTGTCGGTGCAATCAGGATTCTTCAAATATGTCAGCAAAATCTCGATCGTTGAAAAAACATGAAAAATAAAGCCTACTAAAAATTTAAATATAATTCAAATTTTCGATATTAACATGTAAATTTGAAATTTCCAATTTATTAGAAATTTCAAATGAACCACCGAAAATGTACTTTTATCATAAATTTAGTAAGAATGTACCGAAAATTTTATATATATAAAAAATTTCGTTCAAAAATTAATTTGTATCTCATTTAAAGATAAAATTGAAATAAAAAAATTAGATTTAATTTTGGGGTGGCATGTTACCATAACCCGACACTCCAAATCAAACAAGCCACCGCGAACATTGAAAGAAAACAAAAATGGAAGACGTGATAACAGAAGCAGCACCACCATCAAGACTCCTAGAAGAAGACCTAAACAACTTCACACCACCATCTAAGCCTCTTCCTTCCCCCTTCCTCCTCTCCCCCCACACTCAACAACAACAACCCCTCAAACCAAACCTCCTCATCATCGCCATCTCTTCCCCTTCTCTCTCCCTCTTCCAATCCTTCCTCAACTCCCAAACCCTAACCGCCTCACTCATCCTCCCAGAACTCCCTCTATCCCATTCCGACAACACCATCGACATCCACTCCATCTCATCAACCATCCTCCTCGCCGCTGTTCGTTGCCCGGTCCCCGATAACCGCGCCTACGCTATCGCCGACGCTCTCTTAAATAACCAGATCCGTCCTGATGCGGTTGTTATACTCGATTCCATCCAGCCGATGAATCACCGCGGCTTACTCTCTTCCGACGAAGCTGTTGCGTTTAAGCTGGAGAGCTCTGCCGAAAGGAAGAAGGCGGTTGGGGAGAAATTGTTGGGTGGATTGGAGTATTACCCGTCTGGTAGCGTTGTTGACGGGCTTGGTGCGGCGATTCTTGGAAGGTGCCAGATTCTGAACCTTAGGGCTAGCTTGTGTGTTTCTTGGCCTCACTTTGATTCTTCTGTTGTGTTGTTGTTGAAGGATTTGATTCAGCCTTTGGCGGAGTTTGATTTCGGTTTGAATAGGGATGAAGCTTTGAAATTTGGGAGGAATAGGGATCATGTTTTTCAATCTCATCTGTATATTTGATTTATAGATAATGTGGCTCTTTGAAATGTATTTCTGGATGATTTTAATGTTTTGATAGATGAGATTTGATGTTAATTTGTTTGGTCTTATGGTGGATATCGATATGATGTCTGTCTTGCTAGGTCAATTGCTTGCATTAGGCACTTTTTGAATTGAATGTTCTCTAGGTTTAGTGTAGCCGATTTTATGCTCTTTTGAATAGAATGTTCTCTAGGTTTTTTGTCGTCGATTTTACTCTTTTGAATTGAATGTTCTCTCGGTTTTGTGTTGCCGATCGTTTTGCTATTTTGAATTAACTGTTATCTCTGTTTTGTGTACAGATCTTTATGCTCTTTTGAATTGAACGTTAACTCTGTTTTGTGTAACCAAACTTTATGCTCTTACGAATTGAATGTTATCTTGATTTTGTGTAGCTGATCTTTATGCTCTTATGAATTGAATGTTCTCTCGATTCTGTGTTGTGGTCTTGGAATTACTAGTTTTCTTCATCAAGCATGAAGAAGGATTGAATTTGTGAACTGAATTGATCAAAATGTACTGCCTCAAGTGTTGTTTGTGGGTCACATTGATCAAAATGTAACTATGGCATGCAACCAGTGACCACTGTGCAATTGTTAAGGCAGTGTAGAGTCCTTACCATAATAAGTTTCTCTGCATTTGTGAAGGCAGCGTAGAATCCTTACCATAAAAAGTTTTGACTCATCTTAGATCAAAACTTATTTTGACCATACTACACCTTTCTTTTCGTGCTTCTTAAGATGTCTTTATAGCTATAGATGTTTTCCCGGCGTCTCTTGTTAAGAAACCATCTAATGTAAGCTCTATAAGCAATGCTACACTACAGGAACCATATAGTTATAGTAGCTTGACCGAACAAATGATTGGACTCAAGTGGTTTGAGTTCTACTTAAAATCTAATTCAAATGTTGATCCGAACAATTATTAGTTAGAGTTTAGTTACTTTCCGGACACCGATATATCTATTCATGTCCAAAGTTTTTTAAAGAGTGTATATCAGATTTCAATAGAAAGACATATAGAGTGCTCTTATGTGGTAGAATCAGTGTACCATCTCTTCGTTGAGCTTGTTATATTTGTGATGTCCTTCCTCTATAACGAATTATAAACAAAATTGATTTTTTTTGGTACATTTGATAATTAATGTACGTAATTCGTATATGAATTTTATACATTAATTGTTAAATATATCAAAAAAGTCAAATTTATTTATAATTTATTACGGAGGGAGTATAGAATTTTTAAGTGGTCGGGGGTGACAAGTAGCTATTCTTAATGATTCTATGATGCTTTTTGAATTGTTTCTTTCTTTAGAGATAGGTGTTAGTATAAGGGTGGTTAATTGTTGGTTGGTCTATCTGAAAAGTGTGTGATGATGTTATCTTTAACGGAGTCACAAAAATATTGAAAGAGATGGAGAAGAGTATCTTTTTGGTTTGAAAATGATTTCTAGGTAAATCAGAGTTGAACTCTTGCTTCTTTTCTAAACGATTTTAGAACCTTATCTTCTACTTGCACCTATGCTGAATTGAATGTTCTTTTGTTTGGATCTGATAGGTTGATGGGGAGCTGACAGTTTGAGATCTAATCTGTTCTGTTGTCAGTGTTAGAACCTTTGTTAGCATCTTGGTCTTGCATTTTGGATCTTTGATAAGTAGGGTTGATTTGATTGTTTTTATTGATTGGTTTTTTCTTGGTAGTATTGTTTGATGTGTTTTATTTCTTTGTTGCTCTTTCTTGTTCTTTTGTTGTTTTTAGACACTTCTTGTATTTAGTGAGTTTTTTTTACGTGTATTTAAGTGAATTTTCGCTCTTTATTTAATCATATATTACTCTTTTCTGTTTAAAAAAAAACGAAAGACATATAATTACATATCTTAGAAATTTAATCTTTTAATCTTAAGCCAAGTCTTTTAAAAGAAAAGTTCATAAATATGATGTCAAAAACTAATTGTATGTTATTTGAAACATGAAAAAGAGAAAAGAATGTGCTGTAGATGCAGTCCAAGAACTGAAGACGTCCTTGTTTTATTTTTGTCAAATATTATTGTTTCTCGAATTCATTTTACTTTTGAAATTAGGGTTAATTTGAATTGATTTATTCGATTTTATCTATTGACATAAATTTTGTGATACTGATTAAGAGATATTATCAAAACAATTTACGATACTTTTCATACAAATATTTTAATTTATTTTTATAAGTTCTAAAAGATACTCACTCTTTTGTCAAAAGAAAAAAAAATATTCTCTTTTAAATATTAAAGAAAAAAAAGATATTTTTCTTATTTAAAATATAAGAGAAAAAAATTATCTTTCATTCTTAAAATAAAATTATTGTATTTAATATACTTTTCTCTTATTATTTTTATAATCAATAACTAATTAGAATTGTTTTTATATCTTCTTAAATACTTTATTTCAAGAAAACAACAAATTATGTTTTTACTTTTTTTTTTATAAGTGTGTTTTTTATTTTATATTTTATATTTTGGAATGAATGGACTAGTTGATAAAAACAACTTATATTAAATAATAAAAAATTTAAATTTATTTTATATGTTGTAATAAAAATAGTTTATGCAAGTATATTCACAAACGCTTATTTGATAAGAACTTATTCTATAAGCTAATAAGCTGTTTATCCAAACAGCTCGTAATAGAGAATCAAACTTCTAAAGTGAAGCTGGGTTATTATTGCTTGATGATGAATTGTTAGCTTATTGCCGAGACTATTATATTTCAGTGATTATTATTGTAGGAAAAATCATAGTTGGGACTAATTGTAAGTCAAAATTTCATTTTTATTTAGCTTTGATCTGTCTCAACATAATCTAGAGTGAGATATGAGATTAGAATTAAGGAGAAAAAGGGTTAAAAGAAAGATAGTCAATAATATAGATGAGAAATTTGTGGATTCTTGCACCCATATATAAAGATAATTAATCACTCTTAATCTTGCACTTCAAAACCATGACTCGATTCGTATAAGATTTTTCTTTCTTATGTAATCAAGTTCATATGCAATCAAATTGACTTCATACAAAATTACTATTTCAAATATGGAAATGTATCATATTGTTAAAGAAAGATGACTTTCTGGTAAGCAAAATTATATTGATATCAATTTCATAAAATTAAATTAAGCTGATGTAATGCTAGGTGGTATTCATAAACCTAGCCTATTTACTGTTGGATTGTTGAAACCTGTCTCAAAAACGACAGAAAGATGAAAACAAAACACATGTTGGTCACACAACTTTTAATCACTTTTTTAGTTTTATTTAGCTATACCTCAATCTTTCTTTGTGTGTGTTAAGAATGTTACTTTTGGTTTAAGAAGACTCACCAACTAGGCCATATTAGTTGCAACTTCTCTTGACTCTTAAAAATCATCTTTAAGAAACAGCCATTACATGGAAAAGGTCAAGGTGCAACAACACTGCACTTCATAGCACTTATTATATGTATATATATTCTCTTATTCCTATCTATTTCCCCAACCCTACATTCTTCTCAAGCTAAGCTCTAATAGTAAACTAACTATGAATCCTTCATTTCTTTTGAAATTCTTCTTACTACATATTGTTCTTTTCTTTGGCTTTCTTGGTGCAACTGAACCTCAACTAACACTTGATTACTATGCATCAACTTGTCCTACTGTGTTTGATATTGTTAGAAAGGAAATGGAATGTTCAGTTCTTTCTAATCCCCGTAACGCCGCTTCCATTCTCCGGCTTCACTTCCATGACTGCTTTATTCAGGTCTCAAACTTTTCATTTGTGATTTTGTTCAGGTTTTAAAGTGTAGTTTTTATTAAAATCATGCTAGCATGTAAATTCATATACTAATTAAAAGTGATATTATGCAATCAGGGATGCGATGGATCGATCTTGCTCGATGATACAATCACGCTCAAAAGTGAAAAGACAGCAGCTGCCAACATCCACTCTTTAAAAGGCTTTGGAATTATAGATCAAATCAAGAACTTTGTTGAATCTGAGTGCCCGGGAGTTGTTTCTTGTGCTGATATTCTCACAATTGCAGCTAGAGATGCTGTCATTCTGGTAAAAGAAACAAAATGTGTTACAAATTCTAGTCTTTTTCTCACACACAAATAGGGTCCATATTTTGCCACGGATTAAGTGTGACATATATTTTATCAGTCCTATTTAGTCACAGTTTGATTCTGTCAAATTTTAGATTCTGTGCGGTAGTCTGTCTTGTATGCCTTCAAAGACGGCCTTGATCCAAGTTAATGGAAATATACATTTATCTCTGTCCTTTGATATCTTGTAGGTTGGTGGACCATACTGGGATGTTCCTGTTGGAAGAAAGGATTCTGTGACTGCAAGTTTTGAACTTACTGACACCAATCTTCCAACTTCTGATGAGAGCCTTGTCTCTATCATTCCCAAGTTTCTTTATCAAGGCCTATCAGTTACAGATATGGTTGCTCTTGTAGGTATGTTCTTATTCTTGTAAAACATTTTCTAAAATCCAAATCAACTAGGCCCTTTCTTTTCTGATCACAAAGCATGCAGGATCACACACCATTGGTATGGCAAGGTGTCAGAATTTTCGATCAAGAATATATGGAGACTACGAATCAACTTCAGCGAAAAATCCAATCTCGGATAATCAGTTCAACAACCTTAAATCTATTTGTCCACCAAATGGAGGAGGAAAGAATAACATAACAGCAATGGACTACGTTACGCCTAATCTCTTCGACAACTCTTTTTACCAGTTACTGTTAAAAGGCGAGGGAGTTCTTAACTCTGATCAAGAAATGTACTCGAGTGTGTTTGGAATCGCAACAAGAGAGCTTGTGAAGAAGTATGCAGCGGACTCTTTGGCTTTCTTCCAGCAATTCTCTGATTCAATGGTCAAAATGGGAAATATCACTAATTCAGAGAGCTTTGTAACTGGAGAAGTTAGGAAAAACTGCAGATTTGTCAACACATAAAACATTCATTGTGTTTTATGTATCTTTTGTTTGTTTCCACTTACATTAATTTTTTATGTATTTCAGCCATAGCAAGTCGTTTTTATGTATTTCAGCCATAGCAAGTTGATACAATGATATATCACATCTAAGCAAGGAATGGTATAAAATGTATGTTTCCAAATTTATTAAGAATGATTATGCATTTGTAAGCTTCTTGCATAACTTAAGTTATAAAATTGAATTAGAGCATGTCCTTTCTTAACCTTTCATGTATGCAACACAAATAACAAGTTATCTCAATAGATATAACATAACGATTATGTTTATACATAAATTTATTGTTCAGACTAGATAAGATAAAAGGTAAGGCGTGGTTGCTAGGTCAAGGAAAACATGTAGGCAATAAGTCAGTTATCACCCAGATCGAGTCCACAAGACCTAAACTGGATTGTGTGATCGGAGGATCATGTAATCGGACATGGGAGAAGATGAAGAGGCAGCAGTCGGGCTCATACCCTAGATCCAGAGGTTACCTCGAGTTCGGCCTTAATGGAGCCCTTACGCAATGGTTGACCCATTAAGGGAGTAACCTCTAATCATTATACGACGACGCACGTTATGATGATAGCCATCATTGGCGACAACGGGCGTTACTTGCCTTAAAGGCAACACAGTTACGTAATGTGGAAATTCACGAAAGTCACATGCAATGATCATTGAGGTCCATGTTGTTGTACCCCAAAATTTGCCCTCTCATTTCTCAAGTAATCTCTCACAAGACTTTCATTGATTCAAGACTGCACATGGTTTGATCAACTCAAGACACCTCCTCAAGCATTGATAACTGAAAATTAGGGTTTGAGATTGCACAAGGATAAATGGACCTTTTATGTCCCATATGACTTTCATGGATCATTTTGGACCCTCAAGATTGATCATGTAAAGTTTCAAGTCTTAGATCACATTTTTGCTCAGCCAATTGATCAGTTGACCTAAAATCAGCTGTATTGGGGAAAAAGTCAACTATGGTCAATTTATAGTCAAACTTCACAATTTTGGTCTATATCAACATTATGAACTCATATATGTCAATTGATCAAGTTTGGATCACAATTCCTCAAGAAATTTGATCAGATCATCAAAAGGGCAAAATGGTCAAAATTAGGGTTTTGACTAAGAAGGTGCAATTTCTGATTTTTGACCTAGCAAATGACTTATTTGTTTGAGACATGATCTCAAGGATTCAAATACTTCATTTTGACCTAATGACATGGCTCAAAATATTTCTCAAGATTAATTGATTGACAAATGAATTTCAATCAACTGATGAAAAGTCAACTGTACACTGAAAAGTCAAACATTGACTTTTTGATCAAAATCAAGTTTCAAAGATTAAAATTCATCAAGACATATCAAAATATGAAACTTGTTCATCAAGAAATCAAAAAGTCAAAATTTCATTTTGAAAAGTCAAAATTTCTAAACTTAGAAATTTTTCTAAGTGTTGGAAATTCACTTTTTTTTCATAATTTTGAGCCAAATTTTCACCATGATGCAAGATGTTTCAAAGGAAACTTCCAACATGAAAGTTGTAGATTTCAATGAGATCTAAAACATTATAGAAAACAATTTTCTCTATAAATTATGGATTTCAAGTTATGATTTTAAGAAGACATGTTCATGAAACTTGAAAAACTTAGTGAAATTTTGCCCTAGTTTAGGCAGGATTTTGACCTAACTTCATGGAAATTTTTTCACATATCTCCAAGATGAATCTTCCAAAATTTCCAACATAGAGGTTGTAGAGGATGTTACAAGCTTTCTAAAATGTCAAAGAACTCATTGAGATCATACTTGAGCAAGGAGAATCGAAGGCAAGAAGTTAAGGTTCCATTCTTGTTTTACAAGGCAGATTTTTAGGATGAACATGAGCCAAATCCATGCTAGGCTGCATAATCTTTGTTTTTCAGGCCTCAAACTTGTTTGTCACTCCATAATTAATGGTTTAAACAATTCTTTAATCCCTTATCCACTTGGTTTAAGCTTTGTCCAAAATAATTTTCCATTTATGGCACAAAGTTGTCATTTCCTTTTTGATAAAGCATCACTTTTGCAATTGTGAACTTCTTGAGCCTTGCACTTGTTATTTCTGCACACACAATCCCTATAAACCAAAAGAAATATGTGTAAGGCCTCTTTCAACTCAGAACATGCTTGTACAACACTTTGAGATTTGTCTTCTCACTTTTCTTCAAAAGAAAGTTATAGAGCCAAAAAGCTAGAACTCAGAAATCTTGTGTGCATTTGATCCCCAACCTTTTTCATATAACTATACAAGTCTATTGCAACATAACGCACGAATACATAAGCTCTCAAACTCTCCCAAACTCAGAACTGCATAACACACCACCATTATTGCACATTCTGACCAAAAACTCCAAACTCAGAATCCACTCGTGCGTTTCTTGGCTTTTCACTTCCAAAAGTTCCTAAACATCATCTACAAACAATCCCACACCCTGTTACATGACTGTAACATCATCTTCATCAACTTCCATAACCAAAAAACAGAGCTTGCACCACGACTTCTCTAGCATGATTCAAACACTCCCAACATCAAGTAAGCATTGCATTAGCTTCCTGGGAACTTGAGGAAGCTAACCTGATCATCATAACTCTTTGAAAGCAACTCAAACTCATTTCACGATTTCCAGTTTTGAGGTACATTTTCTGAACTTCTATCTTCTCATTTAGGCATTGTTAGGCTTGCATTTGTGAAGATAAAATGTAAACATCATTGCCCTGAAACTGTACATATCCATAGATTTCATTTATATTGATTGAACTTAGAGAATTTTAGGTTTTAATCTCTGAAAAAAGTTAGGTCAGAAATTGGTACTTTTAGAAATTCTCATTCATCTTTGATTTATAGTTTATGATATTTATATGGTTGGATTCGTATGGAAAAATGAAGCAATTTTCATGTTTGCATCTTTCATTTTTGTTGATAAATGGTGAAGTTACAGATGTTCAGGCTGGAGGTTGAAGATGAAGTCATATTCAGGACATGACTTGTGTTATGTATTTGTTGTTTTGTTTATGTTACCGGATGTACAGCCACCCCAGTGGCAAAGGTAGTGCGTGTGTATGCTGAGGGTCTTGGGTTCAACACCCAGCACTACTTTTTGTTTTGTTTTTTCAGCATTTTCTTTCTTTTTTTGCAACAACCAGCGCTGGGCCTCCAACAACGGGCTTAGTCATTTTTGCTGACTTTTAACCCCCATCCTATTTTCATACACCTGACCCAAACCTTTTTTATTTATTTCATTTTTACTTATTTTCTTTTATTTATTTTATATTATTTTAGTTTTATTTTATTTATTATTATTATTATTATTATTATTATTATTATTATTATTATTATTATTATTATTATTATTATTATTATTATTATTATTATTATTATTATTATTATTTTTATTATTAAAAAATCCAAAATTATTTTATTATTATTTTTAGACTTATTTATTTACTTTCTTTATAAAACAAAAAATAACAAAAACATTTTTTAACAAACTAATTTCTTTTTCTTAAATAATTAATATTTAGATTTAAGTTTAATTATTATTTTTCTCTTTTATCTAAAATCAACTTAGAGTTTAGGTTTCTTTTAATTAATTTTCATATTATTTTCATTAAGTTAAAACTCTTTTTCATAAAAAAAACTTTAAAAAAAATCCTTTTTATACTTAATTTCTTTCTTAATTAGTTTAAGTTTAATTTTGTTTATTTTTAATTAATCATTTCTCTTAATTAAGTTAAAATCCTTAACAAAAAACCAAACAAAATCATTTCTTTTTCTATTTATATCCTTGTACATTATTTATTCAATTCTTGTATATTATTCAATATGGTTGTAATAGATAATTAGGTTTAATTTTCTTGCAATCCCCATTTGTAAATTTGTATACCCCCTCCCCTAATGATGTAATAGCGTAGTAATTGTTAGACGGTGTGGCAAATGATCGAGAGGGGGGGGGGGGGGGGGGTGAATAGATCACCTCTTACTTTTTCAAGGATTTAAGATTATTTTATCAAAGCGAGTTAAAAGCAGCGAAAATCAATATCCTGAATCAATTCCGTCTACTTTGAACCGACTACTAGAAAACTTGACATGTGAAAAATTTGCTGGATTTTTATTAAATGAAATGGATGAATATACAACTCAAAAATCTTAACGTTTCAATGCACTTATCATAAAATAGTATTTCCAATGAATTTAGAAATTCGTTAGGAATTTTGTCAAACACTTGGCATATGCTTGTATAATGATTTAGTAGTGGTGGTTTGGTAAAAATGTTTGAACCACTATGTTTATCATTAGACAGAAAAGCTTAGCAAGCCAATTGAATTACAAAATTATGGAATATGTAAAACTATAAAGAGAAAGAAAGAAAGAACGATACGCAGGCAGTTTGGTAAGGAAGTTCTCCACTGCCGTCCTCGCGTGTGGGTACGTCTCCCTCTCAATTTTACAATTGAAATTGAGAACTTTTATAACAATTTGCTGAATGTTTGATAACAAGGTTACACTACACAGAAAGATAGAAATCCCTATGATCTTCTTCTTATTGTAAGAACCACCACTTGATATGAGCTGTATCAAGATTTCCTACAAGGTCCATAAACGATCCTCCGCTTCCACGGCCTGTTTGTTAAAATCCTTCCGATTTCCAAACCCCTCGCTATGGCTGAATCTGACTCGTGCGACCGTGGCTAACAAAACCCTCAAGAACTCACCCGTTCTTGAAGGATAAACCCTCTGGTTTATTTCTTGAAGCCTGCTCTTCAACCTTCAACTCAGCTGAGATTCTTTCAATACACAGATGAACGTTACCTCTGACCACTTGATTCACTTCAACAAGGATGTTTGATTTTCTTTGTTGTTGTTGAATTGAAGATGGTTGAGAAGATGATGAAGATGAAGTTTCTTTAGGCTTCTGGTTACTCACTATTGC